TGGAAAAAAATTGGGGGGGAAATCTCCAAACTTCCAGTTTCGGGCAGTGGGATTTTAATGAGGTGCTTTAGTGACAGGACACCTGCTTTGCAAGCACAAGGTCACAGGCTGAATGCCAGGAATCTCCAGGTAAGACAGGGAGAGACCCCATCAGAAAAACCTGAAGAGAAACTGTGAAGTTTCATCAAGTCAGGGTAGACTATGCTGAGCTAGACGGTCTGGTTTAGTCTAAAGGAGCTCCTTGGGATGCATTCTTAAAACCAGAGTTAACAGCCCAAAGGTTGTTTGTGTGACGGTCATCAGCCACATAATGATATCGCGTAATGACTTATTTTAGGCCTACTACACCTCACATGCAAAGAATGTGTGTAAATTTCCAAGGAAGACGGCAATAGCTTGCTTCCCGAGAAGAGCATCCATTTCCTGGTGGCAATTGCAATGCTTCCCATCTGCTGTCTACTCCTCCACAGGCTGAGTAAGCAGAGGCCAATGGCTCCAAGGGCACTCAAAAGTTGGCAGAAGCCAACCCCAACCATATGGTTCAACACACCACTTTCCAACTTATTGCTATTCTTTCACATTAATGCCCTAAGTCCTTTAGAGAGTTTATTTGCCAAGATTTAGAGGCTGCCATAAATATCCAAAGGAGTGTACACATTAAAAACTGTTCTTAAAAAAAAAAATCAATAAAATGGTGACAAAATAATCCTAATGATCAAAGCAAATGAGAAACAACCCAAAGGAATTAGCTCCCCAAAATGCAGCAGGTTTTATCTTTCCTCCAGAATGTCACAAGGGAAGAGGATAAACAAGAAAACCTCTGCCGCCATGGCTAAAAGACCCAGCTTCTTCCACGCAGATTGGAAGAGGAAACCCAGCTTGGTTCATAAACCTTTATTTTGGAGGAGGTTCATATGGAAGTTATTCATGGCTTCCACCAGGCCACTGTTTGTTTGTTTGTTTGTATGGAATATTTATACCAGGCCTGCTAACCAGAAGTGGCTCCACTGTCGAGGACAGCAGCACGCAAGAGCAGCTCCCTGAACAGCACATACAAGCATGTGTTCGGGTCGGTAGGGGTTAACTGATTCAGGAACCAGAGCCATCTTGCCAATTCCCTTCCATGTCCTTTGCAGGACAAATGGACGGAATACTGCTTGAATAATTTACCTTAGTGAAGGGGCTAATCTCAACATTAAAAAAAATAATAATAATGGCAGGAGAGATGTATATTCTGAGAGGGGCTGGTGTCCCATTGACTCCCATAGCTATGGGTATGGAGCATAACTGCAATGAGAAGCTGTATTGGCCTCACTAAGGGCTCTTCCATACTTCCTTTTGTGCCATGTTTCTAGGCACAGGTCAGCATTTTAAAAAATATGTATGTGAGCTTTTTTTCCTGCTCTGCCCCGACACAAAAACCTGCTGTTTATCACTGAAGCTGGTGAAAGTAACGGGGCAAAAAAATTAAAAACAATAGAGGTTTGTTTTATTTTATTTTAAAAATAATTTTTATTGGTTTTACAAATACAAAATACAAATAAACACAAACTAGTAAAAAAAATCTATAAAAAGAGATTCCCTGAATCTTGAGACTCCCCGCCCCCCACACATTCCTTCCTTGGAGTCTTATTTTAAGCTTCTACAGCTGCATATTCATCCATATTCCAATTTTTATATTAAACCATATTGTCCATAGTATTTTTTCCACCACAAGTGAGTCAAAATCCTGCTCTTGTTTCCATCTGCTTGCAGTGGTCTCCTGGGTAACTTTTGAATTTTTCCCATTCTTTTATATTTTTTTTCTCCTCTTGGTTTCTGAGTTTTCCCGGCAGCTTTGCCATCTCAGCATAGTCCATCAGCTTGATTTGCCATTCTTCTCTGGTGTGGATTTTGTCTTCTTTCCAGCTCTGGGCTAATAGCATCCGAGCAGCTGTTGTTCCATACATAAAAAGTCTTTTATGCTCCTTTGGAATATCGGTACCTGTAATTCCTAGTAAGAAGCTACTGAAAAAAATGCTTAAAATAACTTTTGTTAAGAAACCAGAAGCTTTCACACAATAGAGGTTGAAAGTGTGACCTGTGCCTAGAAAGGGCTGGGTGAAAGATAACTGTGGATGAGCCCTGAGTGACTTGATAACTGGTATTTTGTACATATATGGTTTTAAAAATGCTTAGCTATTACATGCTGAGATGAAAACATACCAGGATTCCAATTGCTGTCAGTACATTGAATGACCTTGTCACAACCCTGACGAGGTTGTGCTGAGGGCAGCAGTGTCTCTCAGCCCATCTTTACTCTGCTTGGACTTTTCATCTTCAGTTGAAGACAAACAACTAGCATTCACCCATGCAAACATTAAATCACTGTGCAAACTCAGCATCAGTCATCATTTTCTGGAGTTGATTTCGTTTCCAGACAGCTTTCAGAATGAGGCTATGAAGTGGGGAGGACGCTCATGGAATAAAGTGTGTATGTCAGGAAGGTGGATTTTGTTTGTTTGTGTGTTACTCATCTGATCCCAAAGAAATAGCTTCTGTTACAATATGTTATTACCTCAAAATGTCCTTGCTACAACCCTATGTCAGGGATGGGACTCTAGAGGGCGAGATAGAGGAGGAGGAATGGTGGTCACATACACCCTTCTCCTGACGCTGCAGGAGAAGAGGGAGACAGCCTTGATTTGCAGCAAGGCTTTGAGGGGTTTGAGGGAAGCCACAGCTCAGAGAGAGACGAACAGAAAAGTTGGGAAGTGTTAGAAGAAGGGACCGGGAGGGGGGGCTGCAGCAGGGCAGCCAGATGACACATTGCCACTGGAAAGTATTTCTGATCCCCCTTCTCCCAGAACGTGGCATTCGTTAAGAGTCCAGGGACAAAGGGCTCAAAGACATTTGATCACAAGTGGCCACCGTAAGGCAAGATGCTGTTGCTAGGGAGGAGGGAGGAGGAGCCCAGTTTGGAGCAACGCCATGCTAAGGCTTGTTGCATTCTTTTGTCTCTCGCTATTAGGATTGAATAAAACTCATTAAAAAGGTCTCTCCTTGTTTTCTCTGCTCTTGCTGCAACCAGGGAGGAGTAGCTTTCCTGAAGCCTTGGCAGAGCCTTGACACCCTGTGATTTAAGGTAAATCAGTGAAGGCAACTGGGGCTGCATAAAGCAAATCCCCCGGCCAAAGAATCCTGGTGACTGAAGTTTACCCCTGATGGAGCCATAAATCCCAGCATTCATATTCAGTTCAAGTGTCCTGCAGATGTTTTGGGCTACAACCCCACAATCCCCTGGGGCTGAAGGGCACAAGATTGTTGAAGGCTGCTTCAGATACTGTTCCAATTCCCACTGTTCTCTTCCTGTTCTGGAACAGGAAATTCTGTCACCTGCTATGTCCACGCATCTAAGACATTTTGGGCCGATACATTTAAAATATCTGTTTGGGCAGGTCTTTTAATTGTATGATCCCATGCACTCAAATACAGTAGGCACCAGCTCTTGCTGACGAAGGTGTTTTATTCCACAGGTGTCACACGACAATGATTCATAAAGGAAGGCTCAAATGGTGAGAGTAGGAAACAAAATTCAGTGTCGTGCCATTGTCAGGACCGGAGGTGTGGGATGTTGAGAGACAAAAGTAAACCACTGGAAATGATTAACTTGATTTGGCTTAGCAGCTCAGAAGTGAAGAGCTTATTTTATGAATATAATGGAAAACATTCGTAATGAGCTGAACCGAGAAAGAGAGAGCCAACTAGATTCGTAATCTGACATCATCTGAAATGTTGCTTGCTATACCAAGAAAATGCCGCAAAGAAATAAGTTCTGACTTCAAGGTATTGTTTATGCAATACTTTCAGCCTAAATAATTACTTTTTATCATTATCAGAAGTAATGGGCACTCAGGAAACCAAAAGACAGGGCAAATAGTAATCTGAGAGCAAAATTAACTAAACTGCATAAGCCGCCCAACCAGTTGCTTTGGGAAAGCTTTTATAGGAACCAAAGATGAGGTGGGCACTCTAGGAATCCTCAGTAATGTCAGAGAAGATACTGGAAGCAGATCCCTTGTGATGTCAGTGAGCAGGGACAGAGAACCTGTGGTTCTCCAGATGTTGTTGGACTTCAACATCCATCATTCCTGACCACTGACCATGCTGGCTGGGAGTTAAAAATAATTTCTGGAGAGCCCCAGTTTCCCCATTCCTATCAAAGAGAATGCTGGAACAAGGCTCAGTGCGACAAATATCATGAGCCGACTCAGGCTGAGAAACAAACAAAATATATTTCTACTCCTGAGTCATGAATTGCCAGGCATTTTGGTTCTGCCAATTGATTTACTTCAAAGCACCTTCCCTGCTGAACATCCGGCATTTGCTTCAAATGTATTCTTATGCTTATTATTCCAACAGGCTTTCAGCTGAATTCTGATTTTATTGTCTTAACTCATTTCGAGTTTCATTGTGTCGAGTCTCATGTGCAACACTTAGAGATGACAGTGATTAAGAAGTATACAAATCACTAAAATAAAAACAAATGAATTTAAAAGTGAAATACACATTGACTAAGTTCAGTCATAAAGGAAACATAGGAAGCTATTTTACAGTGTGGTGTAGTGGTTAGGAGCGGTAGACTCATAATCTGGTGAACCGGGTTCATGTCTCCGCTCCTCCACATGCAGCTGCTGGGTGACCTTGGGCTAGTCACACTTCTTTGAAGTCTCTCAGCCTCACTCACCTCACAGAGTATTTGTTGTGGGGGAGGAAGGGAAAGGAGAATGTTAGCCGATTTGAGACCCCTTCGGGTAGTGATAACACGGGATATCAAATCCAAACTACTACTACTACTCCTCCTCCTCCTCCTCTTCTTCTTCTTCTTCTTCTTCTTCTTCTTCTTCTTCTTCTTCTTCTTCTTCTTCACTGAATCAGATCCTTGGTCCATCTAGTTCAAAATTGTCTACACTGACTCGCAAAGGCACTCCAGGGTAGAGGGATTCTTTCCCAGCCCTACCAGGAGATGCCAGGAATTGAACTTGAAACCATCTGCATGCAAAACAGGTGATCTACCACTGAGCTATGGCCCTTCCCCAAAGAACAACCAAGCTTCTCACTCTGTTACCGCACTGGCTTGGGACATGTACATCAATACCCACCTGCAAAGTACTTCTTCAGGTTCAGGGAATTAGCCCTTCTAGAACACAACTGGCTGGGGGCATTTTAGCTCAAATGTGCTAGGAGAATTATTTCCCACTGTAACTCTATTCCCTTCCTCCTTTGTGCATGGGGAGAGGAAGTTCAGAACGAGTAGTCTCAAACCATGGTTTCATATCCTAGTTTTGGTAGCCCAACAAACCAAAGTTGTAAACCAAAACTGCTGTTTTCTCCAAGCTGGAAAAGGAAAAGGAGCATGTGAACCCTAGGCTCACCATGGGACACTCTCATAATGGGAAGCCACATAGTCATTCAACTAAAGAAGGCTTGCCTGAAATATTAGACCCAAATAATCAAGATTTTTAAAAGCACAACATGAAAATAGAGAAAAAATGCCAAAAATTGTTTGGACAAGTGACATGGGGCCAAGAAGTGAAGGCTTTCCAGTTGGCTCCACTCGCAAAACCACATCAAATTGTGCAACATACATCGTAATGCTGTCAACCCATTAAAGACCATTTTCTTGTAAGGATCATGGCTAGCAATCAAAGTTTTGCAATGCTGTGGGTAAATAAGCAGTGATGACAACCAACCACAAAGATTATAAATGGATGCAGACATTTCAGATCTAGACTTGTTGCTATATTTTAAGCTATACAATAGAGGGAACTATTGTAAGGTTAGCAAGCAGGATATATAGAAGGAAATGGTGTGATGATCACAACTCTCTGGGGGTGCGTTGAGTTGTTTTAGTTGTGGTACAATGAAATTTCACAGTAGTTTTTTAAAAATTGTAAGCTGTCTTGAGGGTCTGTGGTGATGGAAAAAATTAAGAAAAATGAAAGGGAGAAGTTAGACAGCACTGCAGTTTTCTTTCACAATCAATGGAACATTTATGTCACCCTCTCTAGTTTTCCTAGTATTAATGTATTGTACACAGATATAAGTACATAATAATATAGGAATAGTGCATCATGTCAATGGCCCATATAGTCCAGCATGCTATTCTCACAGTGACAAACCAGATGTGTATGGCAACCCCGCAAGCAGGACCTAAGCACAACAGCACAATCCTCTCCTGCCATTTCCAGCTACTGGTATTCAGAAGCATGTGACTTCCTGTTCAGATATTGTCTGGTTTCTAGGGCCATATTTTAGGACAGGGATGGGGAGTCTGTGGCTTTCCAGCTGTTGCTCAGCTACAGCTCCCATCATCCTTGGCAATTGTTCATATTGGCTGAAGCTGCTGGGAGCTGGAGTTCAATAACCTCTGGAGAGTCAGTCAGTCTCCATCCCCGTTTTAGGATCATTAGTTGTCACCCATTTCCGGTTCTACCTGGATACACTGCACAAAGATGCAGGCTCCAAGCTACGGGGACCAAGGAGAAGCAAGCCTCATGGGCAACCTTGTAAGTGCAACAACACATTCTAGCATCTCAAATACTGCTAGCATTTTTATTTTAAAGGTAGACTATTGCAATCCTATAGTCACCCAACTCCTAAAACCTTGAGATAGCAATTTTGATGGTAGGATACTAAGAAATTACTGTTGTTGCTCTTTCTTGACAGTTAGGTAGCAGTCTACTGCATCTCTTTCTTCTATATACGGTTAGGTATGGAACCCAATTTCTAAAATGAACTACAGCAACAATCCCAAAAGGTTATTTTATAACCAATAATACATAGAAAACACAACTTTTGAACACAACACAATTGCTCCTGTTCTGGATTTTATCATGCTATTTTACTGTTTTTGTGTTTGAATGCTATTTTGAGATTTTTTTTAAAAAACACTAAATTGTTTAGAAATGCCTTTAATTAATTAACAAACAAATAACCAGGTCTACATCATTGTGGTGCTTGCTGTACAAAGATTATTTGTTAACTGAGTGTACTCTTGGTTTACTGCTGCTGGGACCCTGATTCTGTCCCATATTTGGGAAAGAGCTGGTGGGAAGATGTCACAAAAATCTTTATTGTTAACAAAGGCAAAATACCTGTCTAGCAAACCATTCTTCAAAATCATTCCCTTCTCTTCACTTGGCAGATGTGCTTCAAAAGGGATCTCTGAGTGAGAATCCGGTGGCATCCCTTTCATAGTGTGACAAAAGACTTCAGCCCTTCTCCCCATCTCAAGACAGCTTTAGATCTGATGAATAAAGTGGAACTAAGCATAGATCTGTTTATAATATTGCTGAAAGAAAGAAGGAAAGAAAAGGACCTGGGCTAGCGCTGTGCAAATCTGTCCATTTTGGTTTCTCTACTTTCCCCACCCTTATGTCCACTTCTCCACTTTCCACATCTGTTTGCGATTATTTTTTTACAAAGAAAAAAGTCCTTAAATAACTTCGTTAGCATTTCAGTGTGAATTTCTCCTCATATACACATGCTTGTATGCAGTTTTCGCAAATGGGCTCACTTTTACAAAGCAGTTTTCACTAAACTAAAATATGCATTTTTATGCATACATTTCCCCTGACCCATGCATTTCTATACACATTACTTGGCTGCATAAGTGCACTGCAAAATTCTTAGGATTTCAAATTCCAAAATTTTGTCCATTTATTGTTTCGCAAAGGGCCAATTTATTAGGTTCAGTTGTAAATGCAAACTGATTTTACATCATTTCTCCCAGAACCTTAGTTTGGTCCCTCTTTTTTCCAGTCATCCACAACATTTTTCACCCATTAATATAAACTAACAATATAGTTTCATCCAGTATTAACTGAGCTGACCCCCCACAAAATGAATTTTCTGGGAAATATCTTAATTTACCTCACCACATACAAACACAGATTACTTTAAAAATCCTACACAGCGGAGGAATATTTAATGAAATGCCCTGCATCAATTCTGACACCCCCCCAAATAGGGTGGAGAATTTGCAGAAGCCGTTTCTGCCTGGCTCAAATCTCTCTTTTTTCTATACTTTATGAAGCTGTGAACTACTTCTAGCATCTGCCTTCCAGGCTAACCTTCTGCAAGTAAGTTGTCCAACTTAGGGATGCTGGAGTATGATGAAGTTTTTTATCAGGGAAGAATGAATGCTGGTCAGTTTGAATTGCTGCTAACTATATACAAGTGGTAGATATTTATGCCAGAAACTTCATTGCTGTTATTTCTATGGGAAGTACTGTGACCTTTCATAATCAACCTACATACTGGAACCCACATTTCTCTGGAAGCATTCAATTGCCAGGGGTAACAGGATCGAACAAGCAACGTGTTAGTCAAAAGCAATGAAAAATTCATTAGTTACATCCATTGTTTCTTCCAGAATTAATGTTGGAAAAACTTTTATACATATTCCAATGAAAACACAATTCACTTATCATATATGTTCCAATGAAAACACGATTCACTTATAAGTAGAGACATTCTGAGTCTATACTTTGAAAGCTCCCAAGGCCATAAAACACCCCAAAATCAAATGAAGTATATTACAAGGAAACATTGCTAAAGTAAACCAGGGCCAGACGATTACATGACTCTCTGTTCAGGCGCATTATTGCCTGGAATCTTTATTTGGTTTTATAAAGTGCCCCAAAATAATGTGCTTATAATTTCCTAGGAAATTCCTGGGTTTTAAAATAATCTTGCACATAACAAGGGATAGGGGAGAAATTAAATTATTCTCTTATTTAAAGGAAAACCTACCAAATTTGCACTTCCCAAAACAATACACAAACCAAAGTACAGCCATCCTTCAAAATCCGCACTTATGGAAATTTTGCAATGCAACCAAGTAACGTGTACAAAGATGTATATACTAGGGTTATGAGTGCATGAAAGTGCACATATCAGTGAAAAACAGCATAAAAACATGTGTTATATTAGGGGAAATTATTATTATTTTATTTTTATTTATTAAAATTCTTTTGCACAAATGGGTATATTGGGTCAAACAGCATTTAAGAAGTATGTATTAGAAATTTGCACTAAAGTGCTGATAAACCTTCAGAATGACTTTTCTTTTAAAAAAGCAATGTAAATTGATGTGGAGACCTGAATTTAAGATGGAAAACTGAGAAACAGAAAGAACAAAAATTGACAATCTCACCCATTCCTAGACAAAAAAGCAGATTTCCTTTGTTGACTATCAATGTAGTTCTGTTATATCAGAAATAAATTAAGATTAATGTCAGCAGTGAGCTGGTTTTAAGGTGATAAGGCACCACAGAAGCCCTGCTCAGGTATTGTCAGCTGGTGAGTTGAAAGGAGCAGAGCGGTGCTCTCCCTGACATTACACCCTCACACACAAACTCTTTACTCAGATAGTTCTATGCACTCAAAAGTTTCTCCAGAATCTGAAATACTGATTGTTCAGGCCTCTGGATTTTGGGGTTGCCTTGGTGCATTCAGCTATACTAACAAAGGCCCCCTCCTCCTTCTGAATTGTTTGCTATGGGAGCAATGGATTCTGGAATAAGAATGTAAGATTAACCCTGCTGGATCAGGCCAGTGACCCATCTAGTCTGGCACTGGGCCGTCATAGTGGCCAATGAGATGTCTATGTGAAGCCTGCAAGCAGGACCTTAGAGCAACAGTGCTCTGTCTTCATATGGTTTTCCAGTAACTAGATTTCAGAAGCTTAGTGCCTCCAGCTAGAGAGGTAGAACATAGCCATCAAGGTGAACTGCCAAGTGGTTGTAATAGGGCCAGACTTTCTGCAGCACTAGGCACTTGAACATTTCCCTCTGCCCTTATAGCAACTGTAACAACATGGGCAAACCAAAGGGCAGGGCTGAACCAGGTAACTTTTGGCAAGGGAGAGTTGTGGTATGGAAGAATTTGGTGAGTCACATGGTGGATTGAAGCCAGTAGGTCAGTGTGTGTGGTTAAATGTGGAAACAGTTTACTGAACTCACCCCGATTAAAAGTATTCAGCAAAATTATTGATGCTAAAGGCAAAGCTAAGCATGAGGATTGTGC